GAGGATTGTTACACGCACGTGCACGTGCAATGATTGTTTTAACGTAAATTTGTTCAGTTTTATTGATATTACGCTGTGTTTAGTACGAGCAACATTTTAATCGGCTGTATCTTCGGTTGTGTAGAAGATTTTAACTTACTAACAAAAAATACTATTAGCTTCCTCCCTGACGTGACCACGGGTTTTCTAGTCTCTACTATAATTCAGAGAATTATTCTGTAGAATGTGTGTACGACCGCCCACGTGCAATTTAGGTAAACAAATAGAAGTTGCATAGTAACCATGGCGACGAGGGTTATTACACGCACGTGCACGTGCAAAGATTGTTGGAATGGCATTTTGATCGTTTTTGTTGTTATAATTTTATAACTTTATGTTTAGTGCGAGCTACCGTAGATTGGGGTAAAATCGCCGTGTCGGGGAACTTCGCCACTATTTTTCAAATAATCATTTTACTGTTTTGAATTGTTAGGAGATCGAGTTTTTGTATAGTATTGTGTCGAACAAATTGTTATAAAGGTATTCCTATTCAAAAATAAACGTTTACTATGTTAATTAAACTCAGGCAACATGAAATATTGCTATAAAGTGGCTAAAATTTCCTGCTTGCATATTTCCCATATTTTACAATTATATCCTTAATTAATTCTGTGTGACATCATTAGCATATGTCCTGTTCATTTAAGGGCAAATTTAGTTAGCCATGATGCACACAACTGATATTATAAAGTTTTCAAATTTGTGTGTGGCGAAGTTACCCTCTTCTGATCCCATCTGTTCGGCGAAGTTTGGCGCGAAATTCGCGCGCGGCTGGCAAAGTCACGCACGTGTATTGGCAAAGTTCGACTACATTTCTACTTCATCCCGGCGATGTTACCCGCAGCATGGCGATGTTACCCCGGCGACCAAATTGCCCATTGTAACACGCAGGCTAGAGCTAGATAAGTAAAATTGGCAGGTATATCAAGGAAATATAATTGAGTTTCGAGTGGTATGGTGCTTAGCACCGAATATGGTATAGTTTCAGAATGGCGAAGTTACCCCATATTGCAGGGTAACTTCGCCCTGATTTCAGTGGCACCAATCTAGCTGACTATTTATGCCTGGCTGATGTGGTTCATACGAAAACATTTGCTTTACCAATCCTGTTCATATGAGCTATAAACTTTTTCAAGTACTCGTGTCGTATTTTCTAAATAACATGAAATAGCTGTAATAATAGCTGTCTTGTTGAATGGTATTTTGATAGTTTTTGTAAACCCTGGAATCGTAAACCCAGGTCCCCCTCCTATAGATATTAGGTTGGGGAATAGTAAGGTATTGAATGTTTACTTTCAGAATGTTCAAGGCCTTATTCCCTTCGGTGAGCTTAATAATGCCCACCCAATGCTTGATAACACCAAATGTCTTGAGCTTTCAACTTATTTTAATGAGGCAAATATAGATATTGCAATACTTAACGAAACTTGGTTTAAAAACTCCATAGCTGATAGCGAATTCCTGCACCCTGATAAATATAAGATATTTCGCTCTGACAGATCTAAGAAAACTCATCCACCTGATCCCTCTAATCCGACCAGGTTTAGGAGAAATGGTGGCGGGGTCATGATTGCTGTGAGAGCAGACCTTCAATTATCTTCGAAAGAAATCCGACTTAAAGAGGGGGCAGAGATTCTTGCTGTGGAGTTTACAACATCAACGGGCATTAAATTTGTTATCTGTACATGTTATCGTGTTGGTACACTGGGCTTTGCAAATCATGAAAAAATTCTTGGATCTCTGAAAACTCTTCTTCGGAGAAGAGGGCTAAGCAAAGTATTTATCCTGGGAGATTTCAACCTGACTGGAGTCTCCTGGTCTACCTTGGCCGGCTCCTGTCCTATTGAGCAGATTTTTGTTGAATCTTTTGTAGACCTTGGCCTTCGGCAATGTGTACTTACACCCACACATTGCAAAGGCAAAACACTGGACCTTTTGCTCACAAACTCTGAGTCTAATATCAGTGACCTAATGGTAGGTGAGCGAGATAGCGTCTGTAAGTCTGATCATTTTCCGATCAACTTTAAGATCAACATTAAGGTAAATAGGAAGAAGCCGGTTAAGCGTATGTGCTATAACTATAAAAACGTGAACTGGGAGAGGCTAAACCATGAACTCCGGCACACAGACTGGAATGTATTGCTTAATGGCACAGAACCTGAAATTGGGTGGAAAAAATTTAAAGAAAAACTTTTTAATATCACTGACAAATTCATCAAGAAATGCTCAGTTAAGACAGATGGACAAGATCCATGGTTTGACTCAGAGTGCTATGATGCATGGCGCAAGAAAATAAGACTGCATAAAGATAGACATAAAAGCGATAGAGCCCAAATAGCATTCTCCCTTGCCAGGAAAAACTTCAAAAATGTGGTTGCTCAAAAAATGCGAGAAACATTAAATGAATCAGATGATAGCGCTCTTGTAACAAAAAAATTCTGGTCATATGTAAAATCAAAAACAGCTAGTCAAAGAATTCCTGAGTTTGTAAGCTACAAAGGCATTGTCCGCAACTGCCCAGAGGACCAGGCCAACTTATTTAATGGCTTTTTCTTTGAGCAGTTCTCTGAAGCATCATTATACGACATAGATATTGATTATTCAAACGATTGGCGCTTTGATATTGCATTTGACCACCAAAGGGTTCGAAAAATCCTTTCCAATATTAACCCTAACAAAGCTTATGGGCCTGACGGTATTCATGGGAAACTTTTGAAAAACTGTGCTGTTGGGCTTGCATACCCATTATCACTATTATTTCATTCATGTTACAACATTGGGACATTACCTAGGGAGTGGAAACTGGGACACGTTGTACCCATATATAAAAAAGGTGATAAACACGAGGTTTCAAATTATAGGCCAATATCCCTTACATGCTTAATCACCAAAGTTCTTGAACGCATAATTAAAGATGAGTTACTTGCACTTACTAACGGCATGATCAACGATAAACAACACGGTTTTCGAGCTGAAAGATCATGTGCAACTAATCTTGTAGGTCTATGTGACAGCCTAGCTCTCTCACTGAATGAAAATATGAGAACAGATGTAGTCTACTTTGATTTTGCCAAAGCTTTCGACTCAGTTAACCATGATCTTATATTATTTAAGCTAAAGAGCAAATTTGGTATTGATGGGAGGCTACTGAAATTCATCACTGATTATCTAAGAGACAGGCAACAACAGGTCTTGATAAGTGGTAAGTTTTCTTCCATGAGAAACGCCCAATCTGGTGTACCACAAGGGTCAATTTTGGGACCTTTGTTGTTCATTATGTTCATTGATGATATATCAGTGGGGATTTCACCTGGCACACAACTGTCACTGTATGCCGATGATACTAAAATTTGGCGTGAGATTGTTTCGGAGTCTGATATCCTGCGACTGCAGAAGGACATTGATTATCTCCATGACTGGTCACTTTCTAATAAAATGAGATTTCATCCCGACAAATGTAAGGTCCTCACCGTCGCAGGAAGGATATCCGAAACAGTTTCCCTCCTTAGTGTCCTACCACTCTTTAACTTTGTATACTCCATGGGAAGAATCGCACTTGACTATGTCGATCATGAAAAGGATTTGGGTGTTTTTGTGACCAAGAATCTCGACTGGCAAGACCAGTGCTCTAAAGTCCTCTCAAAGGCCAACCAAAAATTAGGCATGGCAAGGAGAAATTGCTATTTTGTTCAAGATGTAAATCGTCGTAGAGTACTGTATCTCACTTTAATGAGAAGTCAATTTGAGCATTGCTCAGTTATATGGAGACCGGTCACAAAATCCCAGATAAGCAAGCTGGAGGGCCTCCAAAAGCGTGCTATTAAGTGGATTCTTCGCGAGGAGTATATGAGTTATCCACCATCCACATACATTCAGAAATGCAGACAGCTTAAGATTATGCCCATAGAAGACCGCTTCGACTTTCTTGACCTTATTTTCTTCTTTAAAATTGTGAAGCAACATATTCCTGTCACTTTACCCTCATATTTGCAACCATATCAAGGCCACTCAAGGTTAAGAAATAGCCACATGGACCCCTTATGTTTTGTAAGCTCGATCTTACCACGAGCAAGCTCTAACGCTTTTGCTAAGAACTTTTACTTTAGGACCCATTCCAAATGGAATCATATTCCTCTGGATATACGTGAGATAGAGACTATTTCTGAGTTCAAAAGCAAATTGACCTCCTACATGTGGGATAAAATTATGCCGGAGGACTTTGATTATGATCTAGATTTTTCCCTCGAGACAGAGATGTGAAGCAGTTTACCTAAAGCTAACAATATGTTCATAAGGAGCTTAAATCCCTGTTGTCTGTATTTCTCATTTCTCATTTTAGTGCATGTCATCACATCATGGATTTCACTTTATTATATGATTTGATTGCTTTTGATATTTTTGTGTGTTTCTATTTGAAATTCTATTTAAAATTTAAGATTTTCGTGGGCCCATACTTGTGCAGGAGGTGCATTTTGCTCTCAACATCTGTGTTTTGGTGACCCTCAGGTCCTTTGATTACATACATTTTGTCCTAGAAAATCTGATTTTATCGGAGTCTTATACTTTTGAGAAAATTTAATGTTGTTCATTCATTGTGTAAATTTGTATGTAATTGATCGATTTGAAAGATTTCAATAAAAAAAAAATGGCGAAGTTCCCCCATTCTACGGTACATCTTAATCCTTTAATCGGTCGTATCTTCGGTTGTGATGGATATTTTTTGATTCGATAAAAACTGACTGCCAAAGAAATAAAAAACTACTAGCTTCATCCCTGTTACCACGGGCTTTCTAGTCATTATTATAATTCAAAGAATTATTTTGTATGTATGTATGTATGTAGGACCGCCCACGTGCAAATCAGGTAACGAAATAGAAGTTGTATTGTAACCATAGCTCCATAGTAACGGTGTTGAACGTGAACGTGCAAAGGTGCGACATTTTTATCGGTTTTGTGGTAATTACGTTGCGTTCAGTGCGAGCTACATTTAGATCAGCTGTATCTTCGGTGGGGATGAATACTTTTTGATGCGATTAAAACTGACTGCCAAAGAAATAGAAAACTACTAGCTTCATCCCTGTTACCACGGGCTTTCTAGTATTATATAATTTAATATTTGCTTTTTAAATGAGATCAAAGTATGTGAGTTAGGATTAGCTCTGGTTATTTAATCGATTATTATAATTTTACTCATTTTAACACTTTAACAGATCATGACGTATCAAATGATAATTGTCCAAAATATATTATGACGTTTAAACAAGTAGAAATATCAAATAAGACAAGCGAATTATTGTATTAAGTTACATATATTTCAATAACTAAATTAATGTTGGGATCTTATATAATTCACCACAGTTGTATTGAAGACTCAACCTTCACCTTTATCGACAAAGATTCCAACTCACAGCTTCTCTCCGACCCAAAAATAAAAAGATTTACCTTTAAATCTTTCAACTTTTTGGATTCCCAGACTGCAACATATGGTCATGCAGTTGTCAAAGTCTGCAGTGTCTCGGATAGCAGGTAAATTTTCTTAATATCTGTTTTAGGCTTCCTATAAGACTAAGAGTGCATTATTTAGAAAAGATTTTAACATTCAAAAACATGTTAGAATTTAAATAATAAAACGAATAATCATTAATGCTGACCCTTCCTGCTAACATTTCTTCCGTAATGAAATCCGTATCCACTATTCATGAATATATTGGATACGGTCATCATCTCAATAGATTCCCAGCAGTTTAGCTCTAATCAAAGGTCAATTATCCTATTAATATTTTATACTAAACTGCATCTTAAAATTTCCTAATTCTTTCAGTTTTGGCTGCACAGATTTGTGCTCCAACAGCAGACGGAAGAGGTCCGTAGACGGAAAAACTGAACTGAACGACCAACAATTCCATGTCTATCAGGGACCAATGGTAGCTGGTGACCCCATTGAAACCAGAGGTAGGATAAAAATTACAAACCTGATAATAATTAATTGAAATTTGATAACACCGCTTTTAAGATAAACCTTATACTTAGCAGTGTTTAAACTAGTCATCCCAGAAAATAACATGAATACTGAGTTTAGAAAGTTAACCCAAATCTTCGACAATTAAATTTATACAATTCATACCAAAGGGACAAACCCTACACTGTGTGAGGCTACAGTATAACAGCATTTACATCAATAAGATTTTAAAAATTTGCTCCACAATTACCGAAATGATTCTGAGCTCACATTTATGTTTTTCAGGTTCGGGAGTGAAATTACTAGGATGTGAAATATGGACTATATTCATCCTGCTGCACCTGCTGTAAAATATCAGAAGCTAGCTCCCGGATATTTTAGTGAACTAACACTATAGCTGTGGAGTGTGGACAGTTTATTCTAAAAATGACTAGGGACCTATGTTTATTTCTTTTTAGCTAATTATTATAAATATGAAGACACTCTAATTCGAATTTCTTAAACTTTAGACCATTATTTTTTGCCATAAAACCCACGATTTTAGAAACATGATTTTACTGAAATCGTATTACATATATTACAATTAATGTTTTTGAAATTACTTCGTAAATTTTGAGATTTTAAATTGTATAAAACACACAATAGTTTCATGACGAAATATACTCTGTAACAGAGTAGTTTTTACTAGTTTTCTACTATTAAACTGAGCATGAGCTCCTGTTAAGGGGGTCTTCATCGAAATTATCTCGAAATTGATTTTATAGTTGTTTCTGATAGAGGGGAGTAACATCTATCAGCTGCTTTTGGTCCCATGGAAAAAAATTGTTTCTAGCCGAAATTATCGCCGGTCAAAAGGTCAGTAATTATGTATAATTCTATTTGTATTACGCGATCGATTTTGAATTGCTCGTCCTGAAAATCAAGCCTGAAAATCTATCTTCTACATTTTTGAGCAATCACCCTTAAACTTTCAGGGCAACATTTCGAAGAGATCGCTCAGACAAAATTTTGAAATAGGCCTTTAAAAATTCTTTATCCAATATAGAAAGTCTTGGACCTCGTTTTTTGACGATTTTTTGAGATCCAAGATTTTCAAAATTGAATACAAAATTTTAAAAAATTTCTAGAAATCTAGAAAGTTCTAGACTATTTGACGTTATATGTTAATTTCTTCGATAACGTGATCACTTTTAACAGAAAAGCTAAAAAGTCAGGGTTTAGTAAACACTTACTTTTTACAATTTTCTAACTTGCAACTCTTTCTCCATCTTATTCTTACTTGCTTACTTAAGGGGACCCCGGTCCCCGGGCCTTAGTCACTTATTGTATGAACACTGAAGTCGAGCTGAAAAGAAACCGTTTTTCACCTTCCTTCTATGAAAATAAGTTTACATTTTCCATATAAATAATCAATAAAATGACCTTATTTTCTTTTGCAACTGTTATAAGATAATAGAGAGAATAAAAGTGCCCTAATTGTCAAAGACCAAAATTTAAAATTACCGTTACCCCGGCCATAAATAGATTCAGCTGGCTAAAATATTTGAGTAATATAAGGATGGTATTAACATGACCCCGGAGTTTTAATAATTTCAGCCTAACGTTGTTATAACAAATTATTTGAGTCTCACTCAGAGTAATTTTGCAACGTATTACGATTTAATAACTTTATCAATTTTAACACTATTTGCATCGTCTGAAAGCATCTTAGGAAATTCAAAACTTAATGCATGATCAATGACCACTATAAAAAATGGAGCGGAAAATCGCGCCGTAACAGTTTCGTACTACTCTCCCAATCGATTAGTTGGTCCCAAAGAGGCCTGTGGTTCCCCACAGAGAGACAACCCAATGAGAAAATTAGAACAGGAGCGGTTCTGGGTCACTTACTGCCTTTTATAAAGCCATCTCTAAATTTTTATTGAAATTGAATAATTTAACACCCCTATTTAATATATTTACAGAGCGACTTACTGAATATATTAAATTATTTTGGTAAAATTAAGTGCCGGTATTTCTTTTCTTAAAACCTAATTCTTAATTTACATCAAATGATGCAAGTGGGGAGTATTTGAATTAAATTTCCTATGAAAATTTAATTTATTTAAAAATAGTTATTTAAAGCAGTCATAAACGTTTTGGTTATTTTAAATCTGTTATAGGTTATTTATGGTTATGATGAATTGCAAAGAAATAATATTTAGAGCCGTTACAGTTTATTTTGTCATACGTTGTATGACCCGCCGCGCAAGAGTGCGCGGCTCCCCCTGTATCCGGTATCGTTGAAACTCTACAGTACAGGGGGAGTATAGTGAAACGACCGTGGGGGTCACGATATGACACAAAGTTTATTAATGATTCAAGTCCTGCATTTTATGTAGGGTCAGCACCAATGTATTTATGGTTTTACCACCGTGTTTTGGTTTAGCAGTTTATTTACATAATGTTTCTCACTCCAGCTACAGTCTGCAGTGTTGAGTATATATTAATGTAAAGTTTATTTAAATTTTGAAATAAAATGAATCTCCTTGTAGCCGGCAACCTCTTCACAAATATTACCCATTTCCTAATACCTGAACTCCAATTGGCAAAGTGCCAAGACTTGTTCATTAAGTGCCCATGGACGTGTAGTACGTGAAAATGTCCTTGTAGGTCAAGTTGTCAGATCAGTCCTTAATTTTTATTTAGTAAGCTAAGCAGATTATTTATTGTTTTTCCCATGAAATTGAATATTATTGAATATTAAATTAATTGATAATTATGCTATTTCCTATTTTGATACGTGCCAGCCTCCGCTGTTTGTAATTCAGCCGCGGAACCTCAAACAAAATCCAGTAGACATTTTTTATTTACCGCTGGTTCCAACAACTTTCAGCCAACTTTTTAATTCTATGTCTACATTTATATTTATAATTTAAATTTTTGCAGATGCTAAAACATATTCGGAATCCGATTTTATCGCAGGCGTTTTATTTTTCTTTTTATTTAACACTTTGAAATTTTGAAGGATCAATTCTCTTTCTCAAATAAGTTTGTTGAAATTTTGATTTTTATCTCAAATAACCCTCCAGGCCTAGCGGTTAATTTTACTGAATTTCTCATGATTTAAATTAAATTTCAGGGCCGGGCAAGATCGGCATTTAATTTTGATAACAAGGGGAATACCTTAATGCAGACTTAAAATTAAACGCAATCCTTTTAATTTTTAATTCTTATCGTCTCTTCACAAATTGATGAATTACTTACTTACTTATTCTTAGTCTGTTATATTATTATGGGTTATCATAATCTTCAGTAGCGATTTTTTTGGTTAATTGCCGTTTCATTGAAACTATTAATAACTTCATGATCTTAGCAGGTCATGAAGGGGTGATTGCAAATTTTTAGGTTATATTTTATGTTATTTCTGGTAACGAAGAATCATAGATATAATATTTAAACTGAAAGCCGTTACGGTCTATAAATCTCCTTGTCCGCGGATTATCCACTATTCTTTATTTATTCTTTATTTATTCATTAGATATTTACGAATACTTATAATTATGTTATTACGTTATATTGATCATGATGCCCTCCAGCCTCGGCCTCCTTTATTTGTAATTCCGCCACGGAATCACAAACATCACGTTTTGTAGACATTTTGAAGACTCTTTGCAGAGTGGAGCCACAAGGCCAAGGGTGATTTTATATAAGGTTATTGTGACAATCATGTGTATATTTTTTGAATAATTTTTAAACTCTTTGCAGAATCTGCAATTTGCTTCGGAATCCGATTTTATAGCAGGTACTTCCGTACAATTTATATTAAACATTCTAAGGATCATTTCCCTTTCTTTAAAAATGCTTGTTGAAATTTTGAATTTTATCTGAAGAAGAGCCTCTAAGCCTAAACCCCACTATCTATAAATATACTGGTAGCTATAATGTTTACTAACTAAAGTGGTCATGGGTTTTTTATAATACCGTCTAAATTCGATACTCACTATAAATAATTTTAATTTTCGCAGCGTTATGTTAGTCCGTAGTCGTGTTCAATCCGTTGTGATCTCCTTGGTCCTGGAATGACACAGTGCTGGCAAGCATGACCGTTGCTCTTTATGTAATAAAAAATTTGGCCATGTGTCATCGTCAACGTTACTGTAATGTTCCAAATTAAATTTTAAATGTGAGTAGATGTCCAATATGTCTGTCACACTAAGATCATATTAGTCAAAGTATCCTCCTCGCGTTGTTATGAGTTATGACCACTTTGAGCACTGACCAATAAAGTGATTTATTGTTTCCTCTTCCATGAGCAGTGTGCACAGTTTTGAATGATAAAAGTTTGTTAAGATGGTAGTTGAGTTCGCAGTGTCCGGTAAGAATCTGTTTCACTGCTCTTGTATTGTGCTCTCTTTGTCAAGTCTTGTCTTAGTCTTGAATTGACTCGAGAGACTAAAATAATTATTACCTATTTAATTCGAGTTTTTGACACCACCTGGCTGGGGGTCCAACTTTTGGACACTAAAATTCTTATTCCTTGGCCAATTTTTATTTTTTCATGCTGATTTGTAGGCCATTAAAGCATTTGAAGCAGTCAAAAAAGTTTAAGTTGTATATCTTTTACGGTTTAATGTCACGACCTTTACTAATACTATCCACCACCTTACTGATCTTTGCCGTGTTGTGTCCTATAATAAGTATATCCTTCCGTGATCACAAATAATATTTTATTCAGAATAAAATCCACATTTACACTAACAGGTATGCACCACCAAGCTCCGTGCGGAGGAAGACTGGTCCTGCTGACTATTCTTCTTGTAGTCATTGTTAGAACAGACCCTGACCCTGAAGCTTTCCCCAAAGACTGCTGCTCTTTACCAGTAATATCTACTAGAGGTAAACACACTGTACAAAGCTATTTGTGAGACAAGAATATTCATTTTGATTTATAAAGACAAAAATGTAGCTATTCGTGTGCATATTTCATTGCAGTAGGTTCGCGTTATTGGTGGCAAATTTTCCACGAATAATGATTACGTTATATCCACTATGTCAGCACGAAAACATCCTAAGCACTCGTCACGGTTTTAAACGTTTATTTTCTTTAAGCAAATAATCGTGCAAAATGTTAACCGTGCTAATTTAACCATTTAATCTCCCAGGACAGCAAGGCCCTCAAGGGGTTGAAGGACCACTAGGTCCTGTGGGATTAGCGGGTCCTCCTGGAAGACCAGGATTGCGGGGGAACTTCGGACCACCTGGTCCAAGAGGGGCCAAGGGAGCTGGATCCGGCCTTAATGGGTTGAAGGGAGCCCAAGTAAGTTCCAGTTTAGTTACTTAATTTTAAATTTTCTGGAATTATTACGGCAGACCAATATCTATTCTTTATCCAAAATTATTAGAGTACGACCCCCGTCGTATGTTTGTTTTTGTAGTTTTACTTATTTTGAAAAACTGAAATCATCGTCCTTAAATAAACAAATAAGTAGGACTTGAAAAGAATACTCATGTTCCTCCCACAGGGAAAGAACGGAAGGAGAGGAGGTTCTGGACCACCGGGACCTTATGGAAGGGATGGTTTACACGGTATGGATGGATTGCCGGGTATTGACGGCTGCAATGGTACTGATGGAACACCTGGTAAAGGTGGTGAACCTGGTGACCCCGGTTTGAAGGTCGGTTTTGTCAGGTTTTGTCACTTTGTACAAATTTAGCTATTTAATCAAAATATTCCGTCGTTTTTATTCCGGTTTCCCAAATCCCAAATCGATGAAGTAACTCAGTCAAACTTATTAACAGGGAATGCGCGGTATGGATGGTAAACCTGGATCAGAATCAGGAGCCCCCGGGGAACCAGGCCCGCCTGGTGACGTTATTAAAGGAGAGCCAGGAGACCCTGGTGATCCTGGAGAGGATGGTCTGCCTGGAGATCAGGGTGTTTGGGTTAGTGTTATTTAAAACCATGGTATTCATATTATTCATTGATATAATTCAAACCAAGTTTAAAGCAGCCATTTTTTGAATAATTTTAATTCAATCATGGGTCAAAAACATGAAAATGTATTTCATTAACAAATTTCCTTATTGTTTGTAAGTTTGTTTCCCATTTATAAATTCATTTCACTTTCCGAATAAATTTGTTTTATTTCCAGGGTTTGCCCGGGCTCTCTGGTAAACATGGAAAACGTGGAAAAGCTGGTTCCCCTGGCAACACCGGAGCTAAAGGAGTCCAGGGAGAGCCAGGACTTCAGGGACCACAAGGATATCAAGGTGATCAGGGCGGAACAGGTGGTCCTGGACTAACCGGGATACCTGGGATATCTGGAGATAAAGGAGCTAAAGGTGGTGGAGGTGATCAGGGAGATAAGGGAAATGACGGAGTTGGGGTTCCGGGTCATACAGGATCGGCTGGAGAGCAGGGTCATTCTGGGAGGACAGGACACGCTGGTCTGCCTGGTTTATTTGGATTTGATGGTTTTGGAGGCCACCCAGGTGAAGTAGGAGCAAAAGGGGATAAAGGAGATGGAGGAGTTGAGGGACTTCAAGGAATTAAGGGTTATGCGGGTGATCCTGGGAAAACTGGAGACCAGGGCCCAAAAGGGGAGACCGGAAAAACTGGTGCTAGTGGTCTTCCTGGAGAAACGGGATTTGTCGGTGAAAATGGTGAAGATGCTAAAAATGGAATACCGGGCATTCCAGGCATTGCAGGACCCAAAGGAGATCCTGGTGAAACTAGAATTGACACCACTGAGGGATCTAAAGGTCTATCTGGTGTCCCCGGAAAAAAGGGTAAATGGTTTAACCAACTTGAGAGTATCTTGTTATTACATTTTCGGATATCTAAAAAAGTTAACCTCTTTTATTTTAATCAAACAGTTTTATCAAACTATTTAACCAACTTATTGACTAATCTAGGTAAACTATAGGTAAAAATATAATATTAATCATAAGCTAAAATGTACTAATCTTTGTATTCTAAGTGCGAGCTATTTGACTATATGATTTGATTAAAATTAAGCCTCGTCTGCTCTGCATTGGAGATCAGCAGTATACGCCCATAAATTTCACAACATCTTTCACAGCTTCACCCCAAAGTTCACAATTATTGAGTGTAAATTAATGAAACAGTCCATTTTGTCATCCCTGCAGCTTATGGTTCTAATACTATAAAATAAAAGCAGTATTCTTACTGTACAGCAGTATTTTTTACGTTATAATAGCGATCTAATATAATCCCAACAGGCACAGAACTTATTATTAAAGTTAAGTACTTAGGAAAGCGGCATATCTACTTGTTAAAGGGACGTAAACTTGTTCAAGTGGGTTTCACATGTAATTATTGTATTTCACCTGCATAATATCTTAATGACAAATAGTTTAATGATGCCAAATTGTCTAGACTCCATTTCGGTTTATAATCCCCGGCCAAAGGTTCATTTTATTATGGTTCATCACTAATGGACGTTTATTTATTCAGTAAAAGTTTTAAACACGGAATAATGAAAATAACGGACACATCTTAAAATATTACTACAATTTCTTGTAAACTGACAAATAAATTGACAAATAAATTGTTTTTATTAAATTTCGTTCAACAATTTTCCGTAAAATTTGACTTCATTCAAGGTAACATGGAGAAACCGGAGCATTAGGAGTTCAATCTAAAAACATTATTCTAATTTCTTGTCAACTGAAAAATTACAGCGATGAATTACAGCGATAAATTCCGTTCACGTAAATCACGCACAGTCATTAATTTTCCAGCAGGAAGTTTGACTTCATTTGTAACCGTTTACAGGTGAACACGGAAATACCGGTACATTAGGGGTGACCGGACTGAAAGGAAAAACAGGGCCGGCTGGAAATAACGGAGACAAAGGAAGTGATGGAGAACTTGGAGCACAGGGGGTGAAAGGAGTACGGGGAAAAGAAGGAGTGTCAGGTGAAGATGTAGAAAAGGGAGTAAAAGGAGAGCAGGGGTACGAAGGACCTCAAGGAGCTCCTGGTAATCATTTTTAATCAAGTAAAACTCGCTATAACGTGCATCGAGGGTGGAAACAATTTGCCCAGATAACCGCGTTATAACGAGGTGCTTGTAATAGCGAGGCGCGTTATAACGAGGTCTTTGTAATAGCGAGGCGCGTTATAACGAGGTCCTTGTAATATTGTATTGGTTAAAAGTTCAATAAGTTGATTTTTGTGAGGGAACCTCACTATACCGTACCTGTTCTTTGTCAAACCTCTTATTCTGTCTAGGTAATGCCGGATCTGATGGTACTCATGGAGGCGATGGAGGTAAAGGAGAACCAGGTATACCTGGGAATGCTATCCAGGGTATACAAGGGAAACAGGGAGAACGAGGAAACAAAGGGGTGCAGGGAGAGCAGGGTTCTCATGGACTTGATGGTGTTTCCATTAAAGGAAACAAAGGTTTCCCGGGAATGCCAGGATTATCAGGATTAAAAGGAGCGCAAGGAGGTAAAGGAGGGGCTGGCGACGAAGGACAAAAAGGTTCATTAGATATTATTTAACGAAGTTATGATTCTAAATACATTTTATGACTGTTCAAATTTATTTAACGTTTAACGTTTTGGTGCTTTATTTTTCTCTCATTACTTGTCCAAATGGAGCATTACAAGTATCATTTCCATTCAGGTGAGGAAGGTGCTACAGGAGCTCCTGGAGACTCCGGAGAAAATGGCCGTGTTGGAGCTGACGGCAGAGACGGTCACTCTGGAGTGAAGGGAGAGCAAGGAGAACCTGGAGATGTTGGTGAACCTGGAGATGCTGCAGGACCAGGCAAGGATGGAACACTTGGTACTAGTGGAGATAAGGGACACCAAGGACCTTCTGGAGATAAGGGTCACAAAGGAGAACCTGGTTCACAAGGTCGGTAATGAGTAGAAAGTATTTTTATCTTTATTACTGCTTGTTATAATATGTTGATTTCAGAATAACAATTTTATCCATGAGTTGAAATTATTTTGAATATTAGTGCACGGTTCAGATTTTCTGTTATATCTTTGTCAGGTTATCCTGGAAATACTGGCACTATTGGAAGCCAGGGATTGTCTGGAGAGAAAGGAGTAAGTGGTAAAGATGGAGCCACGGGTAAGAATGAAGTTGACGGAGATGATGGACTAAACGGAATCAAGGGTGTCCCTGGAGCCAATGGAGAATCTGGCGAAGACGGTTCCACTGGACCCAAAGGAGATACAGGTTTTAAAGGAAACATTGGTAACCCTGGTATACCTGGCAACAAGGGTGTCCAGGGAATTAGTGGTGAGCCAGGGCCTGAGGGTGATTCCGGTGACTCAGGAGCAGCTGGTAAGAAAGGAGTACAGGGAGCTGAGGGAGGACCAGGAAATCAGGGAGAAACTGGTGATGAGGGACCTAAAGGAGATGCTGGTTATCCAGGTGTCAACGGACAGAGCGGTAACGATGGAGCAGATGGAGGACCTGGTGAGACTGGTCAGAATGGAGATCAGGGTATCCAAGGAGCTCAGGGACCACAGGGAATTCCAGGAGAATCTGGTGCTAGTGGTTCACCTGGACGTGCAGGTGCAAACGGGTCTCAAGGGGTCACTGGGGACCAAGGAGAACAAGGAGAGCAAGGAGCCAAAGGTACTATAGGAGATAAGGGAGCACAAGGAAACTCTGGGAATGATGGCAAGAATGGATATAATGGTTTTCCAGGTGAAAACGGGACGTCTGGGAAAAATGGCATACCAGGAGAACAAGGTCATAAAGGTTTTATTGGAGATCAGGGAAACGATGGAGAAATCGGGGATCCTGGGATAAGTGGTGACCCTGGAGAAGCTGGCCAACAAGGAATAATTAGATTACCTGGAACTCCTGGACAAAAGGGTAAGTTACCTGTCTTGGGATCGACTTCGTAGCTGATTGGTAAAAACTTAATATATTATACTTATCTATTTCATAACACTGTTCAAATATACCTCTATCTGTACATAGTGCCACTGATCACGAATTTTATCAGGTTACACGGGAGAACCTGGAAAATCCGGAATAAGCGGTAAAGATGGAGTCCCAGGAGGGCAAGGAGCCCAAGGCGAAGGCGGACCCCAAGGACTTGAGGGATCGCAGGGGTCTCAAGGAAACCTAGGATTGAAGGGAGACTCTGGAGAGAGCATAATGGGAGCAAATGGAGATACTGTAAATATTGACTGATTGAAATTGCTGAAGATTTGACAAACAAAATTCCGTTTAATTACTGTTAACTTAAATGTGGTGACTGGTGATGATAATCAAGACACACAAAGTTATAAAACTCTTCATTTTTAGGGAGAACAAGGAAACAAGGGCGATCCCGGTAATCCTGGGGATAGAGGAGAGGACGGCGAAAAGGGCATTCCCGGAGATATTGGAGACAAAGGACTACGTGGTGCTTGGGGATTGGATGGTGGTCCTGGTGACACGGGGACAAAAGGAGAGCATGGGTTCAACGGAAATCCTGGATCCCAGGGATTACCGGGAGATGAAGGTCCTGAGGGTGACAAGGGCCCGCTGGGATCCCAGGGTGCACCAGGATACCACGGTGAGTAATCAAGTACACAAAATGTGCATATTTCTTATCTGAGCTTAAGATCTCGATATGATAATACTTTCTTGTAATGCACTTTGCGTAACGTTGAGGTGCGAGAAGAGATGTTAAAGGGTAATTGTTCTCTCAGGAAGCGATGGAACTGACGGAGCAAAGGGTGTTGCAGGGGATCCCGGACATGAAGGTCTTCCAGGTCCTCATGGGGCCCACGGAGATCAAGGAGTTAAAGGAAGTAAAGGCCCTATTAGAGAGCAAGGAACCCCTGGTTCAAAAGGACATAATGGTCAAAAGGGTGAGATTTCCTTCACGCAACCTGTGGTTGCTATTTTATCATTAGTGTTGATCGAGCTTCACTTTGAACTCTGAATTGATGAGAAATCCTCAAATCCTGTCATAATTCAATTAAGGTGTTCTAAGATGAAGATGGTGGGTGTCAAAATAGAATAAGTTTGAACACAGACACCAACTTTATCAGTTTATCAAAGCAAGCAACCAACAGGTAATCAAGGAGACGAAGGTCCACCTGGAGAAAACAGCTTTGACGGATGGAGAGGAGCAGCTGGATTTAAGGGATCTAAGGGTGAAGCTGGTGACCAGGGTGATACTGGCGAGCAAGGAGAAACGGGTGATGAAGGTGTGGCCGGTCTCCGATCCGTAGGTGACAAAGGAGCACGAGGAGTCAAGGGTATACAGGTAAAAAGCTTTTTCCAATAAATCTGCCATGTGGTGTAAGTACTATGTGGAAGTGGATGGAAGTTCTGTTTGTGTTTCTTGAATAATTTCATTAGAAGGGTTATATGTTAAACTACGATTTTGTCATGATCAGCTAATTGATGTCAATAAATCAGGGAGAAGCTGGAGAAGCTGGAGAAGTAGGGACAAAAGGGCTTCCTGGAATATCAGGAGACACCGGACCTAAAGGAGCAGCAGGAGCCCAAGGAGAGGTGGGGAAGGAGGGTGAGAACGGGGTAAAGGGAGATGTAGGTGAGGAGGGAGAGCGAGGAGGAGAGGGATCTAAAGGAGAACCTGGTAATGGTGGAGATGATGGTGCTAAGGGTGAGGTGGGTGATCAAGGAGAAGAAGGTGGAAATGGTGGAAAGGGTGGACTGGGTACTGAGGGAGTGCTTGGTTCAATTGGAATACCAGGTAAGTTTTCATTACAAATGATTTCCGAATTTGTTGTTTAGGGTCTGAGTTTTAATTAACTTCTATCTAACTATCATTGCATATTTCCCAAAGATGTGTCCTTAAAAGGTCACAACTTTAAAAGTTAAATTTACCTTCTCTCAGGTGAGCAGGGCATTCAAGGAAATCAGGGAGAAAGCGGTCAAAACGGCGTTGACGGTGAACCAGGTGTCCCAGCCGGAGAAACAGCCTGTTATGGAGAACAGGTCAGTTTGTTGAACTGTTTTAACGTTAAATATGGTAGATAAGGTATACTAAGTAAAGTTCATTGTCAATTCCGTTCATAGAGCTAGCTTCTCCAATATTGGCATGTATCCTTCATCAGGGCGAACAAGGAAATGATGGCGAAGAGGGATTCAAAGGAGATCAAGGAGCAGTAGGAGCCATAGGAGACAAAGGACCTCTTGGGGATTCTGGAGATAAAGGAGAAAAAGGAGATACAGGGATGGAAGGTGCAGTTGGAGAGGCGGGGAAGGTAGGACATCACGGAGATGATGGGGTAGCTGGGGAACCTGGAGAGCCCGGGGATAATGGACCTGCTGGAGAGAAAGGAACAGCTGGGTTTGGAATACCAGGTAACTTCTGCTTCTCCTACACTGGGGATATTCACGGCCTGAATATATGACCCTTAAGTAATCATATTCTTCGTAACAAGGCGTTGTGAACGTATATTGGTATTATTATGTGCACTTCGGGTACTTTAAGCAATCAATTAAACCAGGTAATCCCGGAACTGACGGAGAAGACGGAGTAAAAGGACAAAAAGGAGATGATGGACAAGATGGCGAAACGGGACCTACTGGATATCAAGGGAACACTGGAGCACCAGGAGACTTTGGATCAACTGGAACCAAGGGTCTTAAAGGATCATCAGGACCTGTTGGAAACCAAGGAGATCAGGGTATACAAGGAGATCAGGGACCAAAAGGGGGACCTGGGGTGGACGGAGTTAAAGGACATCTCGTAAGTTGGAATCCTTGGTTATATCCTTGGTATTATTCAAGGAGGATCATATAAACATCCAGTTCAGCTGATTTATAATACAGTAATACAGCGAAATAAACATAATTAATTACATATTCGTAAAAATAAACATAATTAATTACATATTCGTAGGGAACGGCAGGACCCAAAGGTACTAAAGGCAGTACTGGAGAGTTTGGTGAAGATGGGAATATTCTTGTTCTAGTTGATCCCGAGACTGGAGGACGCACAAGAGAGTTTATTGTTTGGGTAAACCTTATCAGCGAAGTTTTCAACTATACCAGACTTGCAGAGAAAGGGTCGCCAGGAGAGGAAGTTAGTAAAAATATTTAATTGTTTTTTCTGCTACATATACTTATCTACCCTGTTATTATTGTCCTGTGATCAGAGCAGATATTGTTAACTAATTCAAAACCGTATCTCACAGGGACATGCTGGACCACAAGGAGTAAAAGGAGCACCAGGTTCACCTGGACAGCCGGGGGTAAGGGTTCATCTGGTGCGGATGGGACTGATGGTGGTCGAGGAGCTGATGGGATAGCTGGGAGAGATGGAGCTGTGGGTGTCACTGGAGCTAAAGGACACTCAGGTAGTCCTGGTAATACTGGCGAGAAAGGTCGCAGAGGTAAGTAAAGTTAGAGGAGAGAAAGGTATAATGTGGGGGTTTCAATTTTCATTTCCAAGTCTTGCAATTATTACTATCAGTGTGATACAATTTCGGGTTGATTCTTTGATCGGTATTTTGTGCTATCGGATACGAAGGAATGACAACAATAAGTAGTTAAAAACCCATTTCCATACAGGGCTATTTCTTAAAATTATTAAGGTACGAATGGTATGCACAGTCGAAAAAGGGGTCTAACCGGAATCCCGGGACGGAAGGGACGAGGAGGAACTAAAGGGTCTAAAGGAGCACGTGGAAAGCAGGGGACCTGCACGCCTCATGAGTACGAATACAACCACCCCATCGTCAGACATTCTCATTCTGTTGCTGTAAGAAATTCTAATGTCTCGGAAAATTAATTGTCCCACTCCGTATCCCATTTCCAATACTTGACTTAAATTCTTGGATTAACCAGTTTTCCCGCTAATTCTGAATCAAAAATAATTAAGTTAAATTAATAACTAATATATTAAACTGTGAATTTACGTTTAGGTCCCTGAATGCCCTAGTGGTTACAAATCTCTTTGGACAGGATACTCTCTTGTAATGTTTGAAGGGAATGGCAAGGCACTAGCAGAAGATATTGGAGAAGCTGGTAAGTATATGAATTATGAAGCTGCAGCTGTTATATTTGTTGCTAGTAACTATAATGATGATAAGTATTTTACACTTTTTTTGAGAGATTCGCTGCCGGAAGGTTACAAAATGAAACAAACCTTTAGTAAATTTAACTTCTCGTGAGAAAAGCGATCAGTTATGTGTAATTCAATATCAAATCAGACTTTTAACACAACCCCTATCTCCTCAGGGTCGTGTTTAGAGGAATTCCAAATCATAGTAACCATAGTAACCATAGTAACCATAGTAACCATAGTAACCATAGTAACCATAGTAACCATAGTAACCATAGTAACCATAGTAACCATAGTAACCATAGTAACCATAGTAACCATAGTAACCATAGTAACCATAGTAACCATAGTAACCATAGTAACCATAGTAACCATAGTAACCATAGTAACCATAGTAACCATAGTAACCATAGTAACCATAGTAACCATAGTAACCATAGTAACCATAGTAACCATAGTAACCATAGTAACCATAGTAACCATAGTAACCATAGTAACCATAGTAACCATAGTAACCATAGTAACCATAGTAACCATAGTAACCATAGTAACCATAGTAACCATAGTAACCATAGTAACCATAGTAACCATAGTAACCATAGTAACCATAGTAACCATAGTAACCATAGTAACCATAGTAACCTATCTCCTCAGGGTCGTGTTTAGAGGAATTCCAAATCCTGCCATTCCTCCAAACCTACTCCGACTGCGGGGAAGACGAGTGTTTGTACGCTTCCAAGAGTCCTTCTGACAAATCCTACTGGTTGTCTGTAGACCCTGACGGCCACTTCTCCCAACCGCGCATGACAGGTTTTTTATGGGGGCCAGAGTAAGAATCCAGAGCACGTGTGCTCTAACATGGATGTCATATAATAGTAATCATACAGTCAATTCCTGTTTACTTGTGCCTACCCCAACCAGTCTAAGAATTTTATTTAGCCTAAACATTCTTTGTCACCATTGTTTTTATATAAGTTTATTGTTGTATAATTCTGCATTATTTGATGAAAGTTTCAAATCAAATCAGATATTGAGGATATTAAGAACCACATAGGGAGGTGCCGTGCGTGTCTTGGACAAAGGTTTACTCTCACCAGGCATTCTTTCAAGACGACTGCTCCGGATTGTCCTAAACACTTTTCAGAGCTGTGGACCGGATATTCTCACATGATGGTCAGTTTTTAATGTTTTTTATTCACTATTTTTCATTATTTTCTTAACTTTTTCTTAACTATTTTCTTCACTATTTTTGTTTCACTATTTTTTATCTTTTGCAGGTGGAACTGGTTCACTGGTTGACATAATTCACATCTGAATTCATAAGTTGTGATCTTAAAGTATCCCGATAACATATCTGTAATCCAACTTTATACCCTCAAATCTCCACCTCAAGCTCCGGAGGCCATAGTAACCATAGTAACCATATAGTAGCCATAGTAACCATAGTAACCATAGTAACCATCTAGTAACCATAGTAACCATAGTAACCATAGTAACCATAGTTTTCCTCAAAATTTCCTTGCTCTAACCCCACTCTCCACCCTCAGATCTCCACCTCAGGCTCCGGAGGCGGGACACAACTCTCCTCCACCGGCTCCTGTCTAGAGTTCTTCCACAACCCTACCTTCCTGGAGTGCCTGGGTGCCGGATATTGTTACTACTCCATCACCCACGTTGACTACTGGCTGGCTATAAACAACAACAACACAGTGGCTGTCCTGCCTGGTCGCTATTGGGCTTCAGGGAATGTTTACAATGGGTATGAAGAGGTGATGGAGAGGGGAATTAGTCGGTGCACTGTCTGTGGCAGGAATTTATAATTATAATTAATATATTTATATATTTTGCCAAAAACAGCAACTCGAGATTTTTAAACACTGTTGAGAGAGCACAAAATATGAAATCTCAACTTACTACTTTTCATTTCCACTTATAAGAGTATTAGAAGTAAATATTTACCAATTGAAATTGGTAGGTTTGATCTAGAGGCCGCTGGCCGAGTCGTTCTGAATGAAAATGAGTATACTTAAAAGTTCTTTTAACTTTTAAGACAAAACAAATTCGTCCAAACGAATTTGTTTTGTCAAATGAGACGAGTGTATTTAAAAATACACCACTCGTTTTGTATACCACTTATGTATTATATCATGTAGTATGTATGTACACTGGCGCTATTGACGATGAATTTTTTTGCATAAATATAGATTTAGATTTTAGTTTTTAATTTTATTCCAATCTTCTTGCATGTATACTTTTAGACTTTTGGGTATTTCTACTTTTCATTTCCACTTGGTAGGAAATTGGTAGGTTTGATTTAGAGGCCGCTGGCCGAGTCGTTCTGAATGAAAATGAGTATACTTAAAAGTTCTTTTAACTTTTAAGACAAAACAAATTCGTTCAATCGAATTTGTTTTGTCAAATGAGACGAATGTATTTAAGAATACACCACTCGTTTTGTATACCACTTATGTATTATATCATGTAGTATGTATGTACACTGGCGCTATTGATGATGAATTTTTTTGCATAAATTTAGATTTTAGTTTTTAATTTTATTCTAATCTTCTTGCATGTATACTTTTAGACTTTTGGGTAGAATTAATTTGTGTATTGGGTCAGACATTAGCATTGAAATTTGACTTTCGAATCGTTTTATACGAACATTGTGTGGTTTCGATTTCGTAAGCAAATAATATAATAAATCACAACATTTTTAATGTGTCATTCTGCAATCATTTTAATCTCTAAAATAATATAAATATTGGCAAACATAATATCTTGAATGAACTATTTTAGTTCCTTATTCATTTATGTGTGACAGCCTGCTATAAATTCAAAGCTGTTTTTAAATTAATATAATGGTCAACTTACTCATAGTACCAGTGAATATTTAATTTATATTTAAAAAAGGAAATATATAATATATTCACAGCTGATAATTTTAGTAAATATGCATAATAAAAAACAACCTTGACTGTTGTGGCCTTTCCGCAAAACTGCGGATGATGATTAATCACTCTACACTCGACTGTCACGTGGCTTTTTCAACCCGTTCTCTAGCTGGCCCTGAACGACTATTCGAAACCCTAACCCTGATCCCAACTTTAACCCTAACCTAATCCCCAACAAAAGCATATGCTGAAACCCTAACCCTAACGAGAAATTATACTAACTTTCTTATACGGTCATATCACGTGATCGAGACAGTTTTTCGCCAATATCTCGCCAGTAGAGCATTTTAATCAGCGTCCGAAAATACATCGATTCAAGTAGATTTCAACTGTCGGGGGCCCTTTTCGAACAGTCTCGAAGATCGACTGTAGAGTGATTTAGCACGCTCGCAAAAATGCATCAGAGGCACCATTTAACCTGCTGCAACTGCATAGTATTTTATGGCTAAAATTCGTTCGACTGATTAACTGATTAAAAAACAGATAGTTTAAAAATATGATTTAGACAGTTTGGCCAATAAAGGATCAGATACTGTCCCTATAGGGCCCCCACGTTTCGCTCCTTACTCGACATCGTGTATCATCAACTCCCTTGACTCTCGATTCAAGTCTCTTCACCTGGCAAGACCTTTAACTCTTTAAGCCAGCCAGCAACTTCTACCACAGCAACATCCTGACTCTCTTCTCCCATAATTTGAACATCTTAACAAAGTCAAAAGATGACACTAGAATTGTAACTCATCTCTAAGTTGGGGTAACCTTCAGGATATCATGTCACTTTGCAGTCTGTTATACTACTTTACTAGAAGCGGGGTTCTACAAAAAGTAGTAGTACAAAGAATTGTATCATCTTATCATCTGACAACTGATCGTGGCCAGGAGTTATGATCAATTGTGTAAATCCTGAGTAAATGCTGTTAAATCCTGAGTAAATGATGTATGCATTATTGCTCCCATCGACTGCGAAACAGTAAAAACCCAAGTCACGTGATAATTTTTTGGCGAGCAAAATAATAAGAGGCAACACACAGTCCATGCATGGTTTGTACACATTTAATGAACGGTTGAAATGCATGGCGGTCGGCACATGCGCACAACGACCACGCACTACGCAGGCTTCTACGACCAGTGAACCCTCGACCCACTGCTGTGTGCCAACCGTTCATTTCATGCGTGTCGACCGTGCATGGACAGTGTGCCGACCGTACGTGGACCGTGTGTCGGTATATTACCGATTTGCCATAACCTATAACTGAAAACTTCTTAAAACCTTAATAAAATAAACTCAATCGCATAATAAACTTATGAAATTTACCCAAGGATGTTCATAATTTGGACTGCTGATAGTTTGGTTCCTCAAGATAAGGTCTAATAGATCTTATAGATCCTTACATTATAATATTAATATAAAAAATCACCTTTATCGTTTGTAGTTGTCGGTTGTCTTGCTTAAAATGAGGGACTTTGTAATATACGTTGTAATATACTTAATAAAAATGCACCTTAGCTAAAACTATTGCATATTCTTGTTATATCATCGGTTCTTTACCGATAGTAGCGTCATCTAGAGTCAGATGACGCTAAATGACGCTAGATGACGCTAAATGACGCTAAATGACGCTAGATGACTCTAGATGTCGAATTTCAACTATCGGTAAAGAACCATATCATCTTGGTGTAATCATATTCTTTTGATATCAACGTGGTTTAATGCTACTAAGTGGTTACTTCAAAACTGGTAAACACCTTGCTGATATATCTTCCGTCACAAAAAGGACTTCAAAGGGCCGCCACCCCTCGGAAACAGCATATAAAAGTCCGGATCAGATCAACAAAATCAGTTTCTGAGAATCACCCCGGTTTATCTGGTAAAGTCTGCTGCAGCACTCCTAAGATGGACGGTATTAACAAATACCTCTACCTTTTCCTGAGTCTCATTCTGCTCTTTCAGCCTTCCACTCAGTTATCCACTTTCCAAGGTAACAGGTTCAGCAAGTGCCCCGAAACTCACAAACCCGTGGAAAAATCTATCAAAGCTTGCTGGGACTACACCAAGTCACTGGAGACGACCCTGGTTGACAAGGCTAACGTAAACACGGACGTGTGTCTGGACGTGAACTTGGATTATGATAATCACCAGCTCGGAGTGGAAATCATGAGGACTTCCAAAATAATGTACTGCTTTGGCATCTTCCAAGGCAGCAGATTCTCATGGGAGGAGTTCACACGCTACATCAATGGGATTTGGACATCCAAGTCAGAGATCATGGAGAACCCCGACATCTGCGTGCTGGACGGAGACTACAAGGATCTCGATTGCATGGAGATGGATTTGACTGACTTTAATGCATTATATCTAGCTGTTATTGAGCAGGTTAGGCTGCTTGAAGGACTCTTCGTCGGCACTGTTTATTAAGATATTTCAATAGAATGAGAACCTTTACTTTTAATGTAGCTGCTGGCCTTAAACTTCGTTCGACTGTTCGCAGTTTTATCTGTGACTAAAATATTTCTTCAAACTTAGATATTTCTTTTAAATAAATGTTATCTAAAAATAAATATTGCTATTTATCGGGATTAAAAATATGTTTTTAATTGTAAATCCAATGTAGAGTTGTAAAATTTAGTTTGGTAAATATTTTATCATTTCAATCGAAACACAAACATAAACCGCCATAAAGAGTCAAAGAATTAAAAAACCGTGTTTCATTCTGTGAAATGATAAAATAAGTAATTTTGGCGAAATCCTGTCGCCAAAAACAATATAAATTGAAATTAAATCTTATTCAAACAACTAAAGATGATAATTTTAAGTTTTTCAACAGCCTTACAAAGTTTATAAATTGGAAGAAGCAACCCGAACTTTTTTCGGCCTGTTGCACTTCTTGCACCTTTTACTACACACTTTCACACCATTTCGAAGTTTATTCTTTCGTTCCCTTACCAAAGTGCTGACAATATTAGAATCAATCTGAGAGGATCTAGTAGTGGTGTTTCTACTGGTGGTGCGGTTACAACAGTGCTCATGGTCATAATTAACAGTACACCCTCGAGTTTGAGAAAGAAGAGTACTGGCGCTGTAACTAACGCCTTTATTAACACCTTTACTAACACCTTTATTAACATCGTTCCCGCTCCTGTGTGCAAGGGTGTCTGAAGGTGAGTATTGGGTTTCTGTGATGGACAAGGTTTTAGAGAAGAGTTCCCCTGATTCAGAGAGAGGAATTGAAGGTTGGATATGAGTCTCTTTGGTTTGGATGTGCAGTTCGAGGTTGTTTCGAAAGGTTTGGCGAGGATCAGAGGAGTTGAGAGAGGGTGAAGATTTGGGAGAAATAGATTGAGGTTTCAGAATTATCTTTACTAGATGCGTGTGATCATTGGTGATGTCCATGCTTTGATCGTCTTTAGACTTCGTGGAGTTGTTGAAGGACTCCACTTGATGAACTACCTCGTCGACTAGCTGCCCGATGGTAGAAAGATCTGGTGAATGTTTTGATCTAGACGGAGTGGGAGGAGAAGAACAGGAACTAGCCTCTTTTTCTGTAGAGAAATCTTTTTCTTCGTCTTCCGTTGAAATATCACTCTGCTCTTTCTCTCGTTCTTCATAAAATTCTACTCCTTCTTCTTTGTCCTCCCCAGAGTCAGTATAGCTAAAGGGGGTTGAGTCTAGGGTGCTTTTTCTTGAGGATAGTTTGGAAACAGTTTCAGAGCTTGTGGCTCGAGATAAGGAAGTGTCTTTAGGCAGAGAACTGATACCTTGGTAAATAGTATCCATGCGCTCTGTCATACACCTTGGTGGAGACTTGCTACAGAATCGGTTGTAGCATCTGTGTCTTGGTGCTGCCCTAAGCTCGTGATCCCAAACAGGAGGTGGGTTCCATAGCCTGCCCGAAATATCTTGCCTCTTCACCGGTGGATATTGATGGTGGATAACATCATCATTTGTGGAGATAAGGCTTGGATCAAAGAACTGATCACTGATGGCACTGTGAGTGTTTTTGTTGCAAGCTCTGCAGCAGGAGTAAGTGTTGAAGGTGCAGTTCCGGTAGAAAATCTTGCTCGCTTCTGAGTTGGTTCGTGTTGGATGTCCCGAAGTCTCGGGGGAATCTCCAAGATTTGAGGAACGTTTTTCAGACATTCCTTGCTCTGTGAGTATAGGATCTACGTGGGCAGTGGTATTGTTGAGTGTATCATCCTCTAAACAGGTTTGTGTAGATCTAGTGGTTTTGTTCTTTGGGACTGTGAGAAGTTCCGATTGTATGCTGGTACTTTTTGTTGCTTTTTCGTACAAAGTTGGGGTCTTTGTCGGTGCAACGGTGCTAGTATTTTTGCGTCTTATGTGGTTGATACCTTCTTCATCACATTCTCCTCTTCTTTTGTTGGATTTTCTTGCCTGTTTAACCTTTCTTTTTGACTCTGCGGTGGTAGAATCAGAATCAGAAGAAGAGCTCAATTGACGTTCTAAACGTTTCACTTTATTTTTCCTGAACGGCCTTTTGATCTTACTGAAGAGGGTTGAAAATCGTGACTTGCTTTTTCCAGAGAATGGTTGCTTAGCAGTATCATGCCTATTTAATGCCTCATTTACCTGCCAATAAACGTTTTTCTCACTGGATTTGTTAGAGCTAGTTACAGAAATACCTCCCTCAAAATCTGTGAGCAGTATAAACGAACTCCGCAATTTATCATGAACAAGTCTGTCTCTACCCACAGTGAGAACAGGTCTAATCTTATTGTGGTCACACTCACAACCATTCAACACTGTCATCT